TAAAGATGAACTCTTGAAGTAGGCAACATGAGCAAATCTCAGAAAAATTACAATGAAGTTGCCAAAGCCAAGACACATGAATGCTTATTCTGGAAATGTATACGAACAGAGTATGAATATGGCAAAATAATCCATAGCATTGGAAAGCTGATTGGCTGGGGCTACAGGAAGAGGGACCTGGCTGCAATGAGGCACAGAGAACTCTGGACAGAGTTGAAATGTCAATATCTTTATTGGGGTGGTCGTACAGGTGCATGTATTTGTCCATATTATAGAGTTAAAATGGGCAAATTTTATTGTATGTAAATTAAATTCCAATATGTTTAGTACAAAATATAAATCAATAAGCCTTATAGACATTTGCAAAGGATGAAAAGTAGATTCATATATATTAGTGGATACAGCGAAACACATGGAAAATTATTTAAGTATTTTGAATATTAAGTTGCTGATGCAATGGTGCTTATGTAATAACCTAGATCATGTAAAGAATTTGTTGGCTCATTTCTGTTTCGGGATTTTTTTTTTTTTTCTGGGCAAATTTCTAAGTCCTAAAGAAGTTTTCCTTACATTAAGACAAAGGAAATTTCTCCAAGATTTTATTAATGAAGAATGCATTATGACAAGGCATGGTGGCTTATGCCTATACTCCTAAAACTTGGGAGGTTGAGTTAGAAAGATTGCCATAAATTTGAGACTCTGTATCAAAAACAAATAAATAAAGACTGCATTATGTACTGTGCTAGTTACTCAGTGGAAAATAGGGTTTAAAGATACCAACCATTTCTATTCCTCCAAATCTATGAGTCTAATATATGCCTGGGTGTATAGTGAGGGAAAACAGGTACATAAATGACTCATGAAAGGGTATAAAAACTTTCAAGAGTATTAGATAATGTTCAACCATGGTTTCAGTAGAGAAGCCTACAAAAGACAAGTTAACGATTCTTGGGTCCTAATGGATAATAATCTGGATGCACAAATATTCTCCTCATTTAGGAGAAACTCATAAAAGTGTTCCAGGAGGGAACATGGTAGACAAAGCAATGGAGCTGAGGATCAACCACAAACATAACTCATGAACTGGACTCTCTGATGTTCCAGGGAGGAGGTAAAACTGGAAAAGCAGTTGGAGGTTTCACTGTGTTCCAAAGGTGGCTGGCAAGTTCCTTGGAGGCTTCTGAAGAAGGCAGTCAATGACAAGGGCAGGATTGTAATGGCTAATTTGGTCATAAACTTGGGATAAATAGTTGTGGAGGGTGGTTAGGGGAAGAAGCACGAGTTAAAAGTCCATTTCAGGGCTAGAGAGATGGCTCAGCAAGTAAAGTGCTTGGTGTACAAACATGAGGGGCCAAGTTCAGATTCCCAGCACCCCCACAAAAAAGCTAGGCATGGCAGTGTTTGCTTATAATCCTAGCACTGAGGATCCCGGGGGCTTGTTGGCCAGGTACTGTAGCCAATCAGCAATCTCCAGTTTCTTAATCTTAATAGAAATTAGAGGTCTGGGAATTCCTTTGATACTAATCCTAACAGTTCCCTTTTCTTGAGCCATTAAATATCTCCCAAGCCCCAAATCTAAATGTTTTCATCCTGGCAAATAAACCTTTTGTATTAGATATACCATGGACTACTCTGATGCTCTTTAAGGTTCACCATTCTGGAAGGCATTCCAAATAAATTTAATATACAATTTCAGAATTTAAACTGTCACAGAAAAGGAATGAATCCTGTAACTTCTCTAGCAAAAGTGTCATCATCTACTATGGCAAATATCAGTGCTCATATCAGAACTGAGGCTGAACTAGGTCCTGTTCTATGATAAAGAAATGGTGCTGGAAAATCATGATGGCCTCCAACACACAGCTCTGAGACTAAGCAAGCTGTGCTACCTTCTCTAAATACTGCAGAAAATACACAACCTTCTTCATAGAAAAGTGGGTCTAATGCACAGAAGTCCTGTGAAGCACACAGAAATACAGAGTTGACATTAGGTTTTATAAATAAGCATGGAGAAAAAGATTCTACTGTATCTATGAGGATTTCACATGAGCAGGGAACACTTTCCCTTACAAAGGCTTGTTTGAAAACATGTCTTTCAAAGACCTCCTCTCAGATGGTATAGGAAACACATTATGTTCTGTTGTATGCAAAGTCACCTCTCAGCATATTAGAACCCTGGTCCTCCACACCTTGTAGGTTCGGATTTGTGTCTGTCTTTTCTTATGTGTGCCCTCCTTCCCTCTTCCCTAAAGGAATCTTAGTTCTCTCTCCTTTCCCCCCTTTCCCTTCCTCCTTTCCCTCCTTTACACTTCTCTTCCCATATTCTTTCTTCTTTTCTATACACTAAAATGCAGGAAGATTAAAGCTGATCTCAAATTAGGGGAGCTTCATTTTTAAAAATTACCAAATAGGTTAAATGCCAAATTGTACAGACATTCTCAATGAAATAAAATATCATTATTTAAAGGTGCAAAGATAACTTTTCTATTAATGACTAACAAAATAGAAATAAATGAAAGTCAATGGGAAAGCCCAAAAGCCCCCATTTGGCAATTATTCAGCCCTTGGAAATTTCCAATCCTTTGTAATTAGGGGAAGATGACATCCTCCTTAACCATGATTGACAATGTGAAAAGACAAGAGGTTTTCTTCAAACTGATAAAACAATGTCAAGGAAGAACTTAGGCAAGAATCAGAAGCTCATTTCTCAATGCTTCAGCCAGACAGAGTCAATATGCAGAGAATGTGCTTCTGTGCACAGGTGCAACTGGATTCAACAATGTTGTGCTCAAAGAGTGTCCGTGAAAGAGCCCACTCCCTTAGTGCCCAGAAGGCGCCATCGTGCTTCATCAGCCTTGTCCCTTTCCCAAAGAACCGACAGATGGCTAAACACCACCCTCTAACCACTCTCCTTAATAATCACAGTCAAGTACATTGGTTTTCATTTTTAAAATGTATCGTTGAATATGATGGGAAAATACATGACATGATGGGAAAAACAAATACTTCAATAATTTAAAAAGTGATATGTAATCCATTGAAACCCCAAATCAGTAATAATGTAATAGATCATTTTAAGTAATTACCTTTTCCAAATAGGAAGCAAAATAAGATTTCACAGCTTCTGGTGAGTGGTTAATAAAATCTTTCCTTGGATGAAGCAGGTTAGTAAGGTCAGACAGAAGTTAGTGACATGACTGAACTCTGTCCTTAGACTCAGGCTTTGCCTTTTCTATCAATAATTCCATTTTCTGAACTGGCCTGTCTACTGCCCAGGACCAAAACAGGAAACATGGAATGTCTGGAGTTTAGCTCCTGACTCACCACATCAAGCCTTCCCTATAGATATACTTTTCTCTTCTTCCATATGTGGTTCTGCAGGGGTTGAACAGCACCCTCAAACAACAACAGTATCATTTCTTTCCCTCAGTAACACCACTTAGATATCTTTTGAATAAGGCTACTACATTGGTCAAAGCAAAAGTGCTTAAAACTATTAAAACTAAAATACTGACCACAATTGTTCCAACCTAAACATTTTATTTTTTATTAATCTGAATTTGTTGAGGTTGCATAACAAATTTACAAAATTTTACAAATTTACAAAAGTTAAATAACCTCTTTTTTTCTAATCAAGTTTCTTGTAGGCTAAGAGAGTACTATGAACTCACTATGGTGTTAAGAAAAGGCAAGGCTGTGCAGCTTGCTTAAGTAGGTCAAACCTTTTTAAAAAGCAAATATGAAACTTACTGAAATGTTTTTATTTTGAATGGGTATTTCTGTGTGTGTAGTGTGCTTATATATGTTTCTGCATTGTTCACGTGTGTGGGAGCACATGAGTGTGGGGGTGTACCTGTGTGTGCACATAAGGAGGCTTAAAATTAAGTTTCTCAATGGCTAAGTTTCTCAACCACTTAAGTTTCTTAATCGCTCTCTAGCTTATATATTGAAGAGGATCTCTGGCCGAATCTTTAAGTTGCCATTTTGGCTACTATGACTAGGATGCTTGCTCTGGGCAAACTCTATTTCTACCTCTGTGTTATTGGGATCGCCAGTGAACCACCATGTCCACCTAGCTTTTAAGTGGGTTTGGAGCTGCATGCTTACATGGCAAGCAGTTTATCCACTGAGCCATCTCCCTGGACCCTGAAAGCTTTTATTTTTACTAGTAGGCTTCATAAACAAATAATCATGTTTCAAAAATCACTTAGCATTTTAAAGTGGAGGCCTGGCTTTGAAAGATGATCAGGGCTAGTCACCTTTCATGTAATGGTCATGTCTGAGGCTCCCAGATTCCTCCAGCTCTTCATGGGCCCCATTTGGTTGGCATTTTATCCCTCTCAAGAGTCTGACAATTGCTTGCAGCACCATATACAGCATCAGCATTCATTTAAAATAGCGGGTTAGTACACACCACATAGAATATTTTTTATTATAATGCTGAGTATGTAAACGATGTCTTGAAACTGACAATGTTGTAAAAATTTGGGAAGGACAATAAAAGTATGGTCCAGTCTTCTACTCAGTCCATCCCAAATTATGGTCTGATTTTCTAGTCAGTCCACCCCTCAAATTACCATTCAGTTTCAGGCTAAACAAAGGCTGTGAAATTCCCGGCATCTTTGCAACTCTTAGCGAATGAAAAGGAGGGGTTTGATTCCCACCCAGTTTCTTCATTTTACCCTCTTTCAAGTGATTCTCGTTGGCTCCTCGTCATGGTAGAGGGAGGACCACAGTATTGTTCCTAATAGAAAAACCCAGGTTATGATAAGTAGGGATTATAAAATTATATTATGAGGGATTGGTTGCATTTGGTACTAAACAGTAGTTATATTGATAATGTGAAACCAGGACCACCCTCCTGTCCTGCTTCACTCCCTCTTTCCCCGGATACTATCTGCTAACGAAGGAAGAGCAACACATGTATGTTTGTCACCAGTTCTGCTCTCTGAGGGAGGCAGGCTGAGGTTTCCTCTTCACAAGCTTAGTGAATTTCTTACCTTTGCCTGCAGTGGTGGCGCACAGGGGGCTGAGACAGGATCTGTGATATAGGTCTTCTTGGGACCACTGACTGGATACATCCCAGAAGGGTTTTGACTCCCAGCTACAGGAGGAGCATATCCAGGTTCCCGCTTCCAGGTATTAGGGTGAACTTGTTGACCATAGGCAGGTTCAGTGTCGTTTCTGCCTGCATACCCGGATCCTGCTGCATAATAAGGTTCATAATAGCGTCCTTGGTTGGGGGTATACCCGTACCCAGGCTCCGGTTGATGTCCTGGGGGTGGAATATACACATAGTCGGTGCCACCACGGGTTGAAGGAGGAGGACAGTGCCCTGACAGAGGAACTGGCTGGGTGTTATAGCCATGAGGCCCTGGGCCATATCCTTGTCCTACTGATGGGTTAGCCATGTAATGAGGGCTGGGCTGGGCTGACTTCACTTGAACATTGAAGGTGGGCCTTGAAGGTGTGGATGCTGTAGTATAGGAGGCTGGGACTGGCTGAGGCTGAGGTTTGAGTGTTCCAATTGGAGCCACAGGGATCGGTGCAGCCTGGGGTGCAGGTTGTGGTTTCACTGAAGTTTTCTTGGTTGCTGTTAGAGGTGGCTGGTTTGGAATGACCATTCTCTTGTGTCCTGTGACAGGGGTAGAGACTGGAGGAGAGGCTGTTGAACTAGCAGAGCCCTAAAGCAGAAGAGAAAAAATGACAAAGATTATCAATAATGAAACAAAATGAAAAAGATATAAATGAGTGAATAATGAGAACTGCACATTTTTGCTTTTACATTAAGATGCAAAATATAAGTAAGGCATGGTCCTTCCATTAAACTCACTGACTAGCTCAAAACTCAGCTGTCTTTCTCTACAGTACCAGTGCACAACTGAAAGGAAAAATAAAGATGCTCACTTACACTGGCTTCAAAAAGAAGATGCCCAGGAATAAAGTGACTGAACTATGTACGTACTGAAGTGGAAACACTGATGAAAACAGATAAATAAATAAAGCAAAGTGTTTGTGGCCAATAAGAGTCCATATTACCCAAATGATCTTCAAATTTTGAGTATTATTTATCATATTGCAGGTTTATAATAATGAAAAGAATGTGGCAATTCCAGAAAACAGACAAAAACCTGAAGGAACAGAACAGGAAGGCCAGAATAAATGCAGACATATAAGGCCAACTTCAACAAGCAAGCCAAGACCCAACACTAGAGAAAGTACAATGTCTTTCACAAGTAGTTCTGAGAAAACTGGATTTCTATAAGCAAAGAAAATAAATTCGACTCTTGTCATATACCATCAACTAAAAATGGCTTTAAAGATGTGAAAGACTTAAAATCCTAAGCTCTGAGGTCCAGGAAAAGATGCAGATATAAAACTTTATGACATTGGTCTTGGCACCAGAAGCACAGAAAACAATAACAAAATGAATAAGTAGAGAAATGTCAGACTGAAAAACTCTTCACAGCAAAGGAAACAACAGAGTGGAAGGCAAGCAAAAACTGGGGGCAAACAAGGAAAAGAAACTTTAAAAATCAACTAATGTTTTGGGAAATAACTCGAACAACAACAACAAAATCACTTTTATAAAAGACACACAAAAGAATAAACACGTGAAAATTGCTCAGGGTTACTAATAATAAGGAAATGCAAACAAAATCCACAAGAGATATCTCTGTCAGGATAGCTATTATTAAGCAAAGCAAAACAGTAGACAGGCACTGGCCAGAAACTTTGAATCTGTGCACACTGTTGTCAGGAAGGGGAAGTGATAGAGCCACTATAGAACTCAATGGAAAAGCTGCTCAGTAAATTAAAAATAGAAACATCATATGATCTAGCACTCTCCCTTAGGGATCTTTAATATAGTAGAAATGGTGATCTCAGAGAGATACTACCATATCCGTGTTCATTGCAGGCTATTCACAAGAACAAGAAACTACTTGGATGTCTGTCGATCAGTAGATGAATGGATAAACAAAAAGCATCATACACATACAATGCAATAATATTTGCCCTTCAAAAAGAAGGAAATTCTACAAGTAGCAGCATGAATGAACCTTATTGTGGAAAATAAGCCAGTCACTAAGAAACAAATAATGTATGATTCTACCACATGGAATGTCAGAACTAGTAAAATCCATAAAAGTAAGAATTGAGATGATTGTGCTAAGGGTTAGGGGAATGTTAAATAGGGAGTTACTAATCAGACATTGATTCTTTGTCAAACAAAGAATAAGCTGTGGCCTACTGTTCTACTCTTAACCTATAATCTACAATAAGGTATTGCGCAATGAAAATTTTCTACGAGTACTAACAAAGAAAGGTATGATGTTACCCTGACATGGGCAAAAGATGGACCTCATCTCTGGTCTCATGGCCACTGTTGATTCTCATTTGTCGTGTAAGATATACATTCATGAATCATTATGTACCAGTTCCACTACCATGCTATAAAACTTCCCAGGTAGAGGGTACTATCCCATCCCCACAATTAATATAAACAGAGTTTCATTCCTACATGTTGAAGATGCATGGAAAATGACTAGTAGAAAACTAGCACATAAAAAAGACTTGCAGAGGGCTGGAGAGATGGCTCAGTGGTTAAGAGCACCGCTGTTCTTGCAAAAGACACGTGTTTGAATCCCAGCACCCACTTATCAGCTAACAACCATCTGTAACTCCAGTTCCAGGGGATCCAAGGCTCTCTTCTCTCCTCCGTGGGCACTGCACAACACTGGTGCACTTACATACATGCAGGCAATTGACTCATACACATAAAATGAAGATAAAGATAAAAAATTTAAAAAAGACTTGCAGAGATTCAAACTCTCAGAAAATTTCATATAAATGTATTTATAGATGAGTGTAATATTTAAATGTACTCAATTTTCAAAATGAAAATGTTAAATTATGATAAAATTCAAGAATTCTTACAAAACCAAAAATAAAATGAAATGTCAAAACTATATGCTTGGGAAAAAAACTATATGCTTGGAAACATTAAATAATCCAATAAACAAAATATTCAACATGACTTCAATTAACTGAATGCAGACCAGATATGTGTTGCCATAGTTTAACTATGAAGAACATATACATATACTTCAGAATAATGATTCCTGCATTTACCCTTTACCCCCAAAGAGATAAAATACGTAAAACTTCAGGAGAAAATTTTATATGCCAAAATATACTAGTTTTAAACACAGTTATGTTAAAAATATCCAAACACATGGCAGTATATACACAACAGACTACATAATAGAGTTAAAGAAAATCTTATACCCCCATATTAGTTGCTTTTCTGTTGCTATGATAGAACACTATGACCAAGGCAACTTACAGGAGGAAGGGATTATTTGGGCTTATGGTTCCAGAGTAAGGGTGCAAAATTTCTGGGGAGGAATGGCAGCAGGCAGCTGGAATAGAGAGCTAAGAGACCACATCTTAACCACAAACAGAGAATGATTGAGAAGTGGGGCTAGACTAGGAACTCTTGAAACCTGCCTCATGATGTACTTCCTCTAGCAAGGCTCCACCTCCTAAGCCTCTGCAAATAGCACCACCAACTGGGGACCAAGTATTCAAATATCTGAGCATATGGGGGCCATTTATTCATTCATTCATTCAGATTGCCACACCTCCAAAGAGTTCACCTAGAGAGTATTTTTGTTTCTTTTGTTTTTTGGCATTTTCATACATACATTTAGTGTTGGTTGATCTTCCTTCCCATTCCTCTCCCCCATGTCTCTTTGCACCCTCCATCCCCAGTGGTCTCCTTTCCACTTTTGTGTCATATGTGCTCTATTATCATCTCACCTAGTTTTATAATCTTTTCTAGTTTTATGATCCATACCCAGACTCTGACCCACATACATGCATATATATATAAAAACTCAAAATTATGATCCTTATATGACAGCTCATATATGGTACTTCCTATATGTAAGCAAAGTCTCACAAGACAGTGCCCTAACATTGTCATGAAAATATTTCTGGTGTGTGTGTGTGTGTGTGTGTGTGTGCATGTACTCGGATGTGTACATATGTGTGTGTTCATCAAAATAAATTTGTAGAAAATTTCTTCTAAGAATTCAAGTCTACATTAATTCACTTGTATTTACAAATATAATTGGCATTACTTTTCAAATTTTATGATTCTGAATATTTGTTCTCAGACTACCTTTACAGCTGCAGCAGAGAGCAGAGTCTACTTGCTACCAGTCTGTTATATGGGCCCTGTGCCACTCTATTGTTGAATTTGTACAGTGTTCAAACTATGAACTCTGCATTTGTGCTGATTGTGAATCATCCAAGACAGCAAAGACTGAACCTTTCCTCACTCAATCCTTTCTCTACTTACATGTAAATGAATGACATTGATGACCAGAAAAAAAAAATCTAAGTTTAAGATATTTCTAGGTTCACATTGACTTTTCCATGCCCTTAGGTGCAGAATGTCAAAATCTTAACTGGGTATTTTGTTAGGAATGTCTTCAGAACATGTATTTGAAAAATAGATTAAATGAGGAAAAAACTGTATCTGTTTCTGTTGAGCTCTATTGGGGCCACTTTCAGTCTGAAGAGAAAGATGCCCTCCTCCAATTTTAGCAACATCCAGACTGCTTGGGCTGTAAAAAGAAATGATATTTGTTCTTATAAGGATATAAAAAAGAAAATTCTGTATTCAGTAGACTCCTATAACTTAATAGGGAACTAAATCTAGAATTGAAAATTATATTTTATAGCTTGGAAGTACACAATCCTGAGGAAAAATATATTTGTAGCAAATGATATGTGTAAAAGATAACCCTGGGAGTCAGAATCAGCTGAAACAGAACAAAAGAACAACGGAAGGACACAAATTAGGTCTTCTTGGAGAGTTGTCTCACATAGGCATCATTCATAGCAACTGTGATTTTTTTTTTAATCTTTATCTGTTGGTCAGAGTCAGTCAACAAAGAACTACATATCTATATTAAATTTCACTTCAAATCAAAGCAAAGAATTTTCTAATCATTATGTAAAATTGCTAATGGTTGGAACATGCTAGAAGGGTACATTAATCATGATTCCCTTTATCCCTCACGCAATGTCTTTTCTCTACTTTTTCTCTGCAGTACTGTGCCTATAGCTTGAAACACTTTCATTATCATAAAAACTTTGAAAGGCCTCTGAATAGAATTCGTCTGTATTCTGAATCCTAGGCCCACATATTCAGGTGTCTATATCATCTGTCTACTTGGATGCTTCATGTGCTTTTCGAACTCAACGTTCTAAAACCTTTGCATTTCCCTACATCTGCTGCTTTCTAGTTTTCTCATCCACCCAGCTCAAATGAGAACATGGGGGTACCTCTGAGCCTCTCCCCTGATTCCTATCAAGTATTAAATCCTGCTGAGCTTATTCTCTGAAAGTCATTTCCCAACTCAAATATGTCCACATTTCACCACTTCTACTGCAGTAACTCTGTTCCAAGATAACACCAGACATGGGCCAACAATATTCCAACTGGTATCCCTTTAAAAAATGCCACCTTCAATACTTGAAATTATTTCTCACTGATGTGCATATAATCACTTTGATTTCTTGTTTTTAAGTCTTTAAAGTTAGGGAACAGATGGGCGTGGTGGCGCATGCCTTTAATCCCAGCACTCGGGAAGCAGAGGCAGGCAGATCT